CTAACCTCATAGTTTTCGGTCTCACTTCCATCTTCACTATCAATCTCCATACCATACGGTGGTACCATTGGTGGATTCGACAGCAAAGCACTGAAAACAACAAGTGATAAACAAATAAACACAAATACAAAGACATCTTGTTTTAACTCGTGATTTTATCAACAAATCTTTTCAATATATTTTATTTTCAAAATGGCGGTTTCACTTTCAGCAGTCAACCTTTAACCTTTTCACCACCAGACTTTTTCGCCTAAAATTTTCTGTATTTTTTTCCTTAAATTCTTCAATATTTCTGGACACTAATTATGGAGCCAACAGATAAAATTTGAATCAATTTTCAGTTTTTACTCAAAACATTTGGTTATTTTTGTTCCATCTTCTGAAGGAAAGAACTATTTTGTGAATATGTGATGAAAAGAGGGAACTGGTGGTGAAAAGGTTAAAGACCATAATTTTTTCTGACAAAATTTTGGTTAAAACTAAAAAATATTATTTATACAGAGTTCTAATGAGAAAGGCAACTTTGTTATTCAAATGGTTCAAGAAAAAAACAAAACAGTGTAGGATGACTAAAATAAAACTGAATGTTACTTACAGATAATGCAGTAGACCTGGGTACGATGGCTGAGTAGGCTGTGGGTGTGCGTGGGGGTGAGTGTGGGGGTGTGCATGAGGGTGGGGGTGGGGATGTAGATGTGGATGTGGATGGGGATGCTGCACTGCGGGTTGGGGTCTCCATCGTCGTCCTGTCAACCGCCTCTGTTGATATGCCATACGACCAAACCGGGCAGGGTAGGAATGTTGTTGGAAATTGTGCTGCAAAGAAATAAAAACAGAATTGTATTATATGTGATAATATCCCATAACCACTATGGTTCCCTGACGAAGATATTCAGCTACCGGATTGACTACAAACTTTTTTTAATAGAAATATTGTTGCTAAGTAACTGCTTATCAACATTAATGAGTTGAAACTCTAAAAAAAATTTCAATACATTAATACGATACTGTTTTAAAAATTTAATTTTTATAAAATAATTAAATTTATAAACTAGGTTATTTTGTGTGCATTGGCAGGTTACAATACCAACTTGCAAGGGGATGTCAATTGCTATTGTTATGAATTTTAAAATGAGTAACTGTTTAATTTTCATCAATTGTCACAAGGAGAAAATACTGCAAAAGTTGCTCCGACTACACGTTTTCAGGATGCCAGCGTTAGTTACAACATTCAGTTGTTTTTACCGATCACAAAAAAATTGCCTCTCGTGAAATTTAACCATTTTAACATATTAAGTAGCTTAGCGAAGTAAGTAATTATGAAAAAAGAGTTTTCACAAGCTAACATTTTTATTTTAAAACTAAAACTAAAATATTTAAAGATAAAAGAAGTGCGAAGGACTTTCTCACCATATATGGGAAATCTGGAGGTGCTGGTCTGACTTGCGGCTCTTGTAACATGTGTAAAGGCGGCGACGGTGTAAGTGGAGGGGTTGGATGGTGTTGGATGGGTGAAGGCACATGGTGGAATTGAGCGGTCCCTGCATGTGACTGAGGGTGTGATATCCTGTCGCTGAGTATTTCAACATCATTTTCAACAGAATGCATAGGCTGAAATTGAATACAAGTATGTTAATGATTTGTGTTACCATAGGAACAGAGTGCAGAGGATAAGGTGCATTCTTATTCAACGAACACTGAAAACTATACAAATACCTAAAACGCTGTGTAGACGTGTTTGAAAGTGGTACAGATGCATTTGAGTGTCTTTCTTATTTGGAAAACTTCATTTTAGAAAATTTTCCTATATTTGCATCGAATGCAGAAGCACTAAAAAGCATGACATGTTGCAGAAGAAATGTAGAGTTGAATGTAATAAAACATAGACAAAAAGATATTCGCTCAATTTTATTTTCACTGAATCATCCCCTTTACCGAAAACTGGGAAAATTAATCACAAGCGAAAATAAAGAATTTTATTATTACAAGTAGGAAAAAGATGTATAATAAGATTATCACGAGGAATACCGCAACAAATGTATTCAGGCAGTACAGGAACACACTGACCTCCACTAAACATCAGTCAATGTGTTCGGCTTAATGTATTCGTGCATGCTTTGGGGGTATTCTGGTAATAACTTTGTAGTAACACATATACAGCTAACTATACATTAAGAGGAAATCTGTCTAAAATAGACAAATGGTATTATACTGTTCTACATACTGTAGAATACTTTATTTTCGCTTGGAATTTATTTTCGCTATTTTCGCTGAAGGGATGATTCTGTGAAAATAAAATCCAGCGAATATACTTCTTTTCCTATATTTCACATTAAACTCATTAAAAATCAGTGAAGACAAATTCCATACGAAACACCCAAAACGCTTTTTCAGCGAAAATAAAGTATTCCACAGTATACTTGCTGATATAAATTGAATATTGGCTCTATTCAAACAGAATAATTATTTCAGTCTGTTTGACATTAGTTGTTTGAGGTTTAATCGTTATAATTGAACACAACGTTAACTAGCATTCAGAATGTCAGATCAAAAATATGGAAGAAAATAATAATAAAAACTCACCGATCTTTGGGGTTGCTGAGGAGGTAGAAATTGCGTTGTCTGTTGTAAGTGGGTGTGGTGGTGATGATGCGGATGAGGGTGGGGATGCGGATGATAATGATGCATGGGAGGAGCAGTAAAAAAAGTGTTCTGAGGGTAGATTGGTGTCATTGGGATGGTCTGCGTGACAGAACACACTGGTATATGAGTCACATTGCATGCTGGGATATGTGCCGCATTGCAAACTGTTACGGGAATACCGGCCGGATGGTGACGAGGCGGCTGCAATGGATTGCATGATGGGATACCAGGATGGTGGTGATGATGGTGGTGATGCTGCGGAGGTTGATACTGCATGTTGCATGCTGGGAAAGGCTGCGATGAGCAAATAGGAATTGTTTGCTGTGGCACGGAGAATGATATGGAAACTGGAACAGAAGACATCTGAAAACAAAAAAACAAAGAATAAAATGAATCTATATACTTTTAACTACAGGCCAAAGTTCAAATTCACACTTGTGTACTCAGCGTTATTTTGAACTATAAAATGTGTTTATGTTAATATAAATTTGCTTCATAAGGTAATATACATCTTAGAAATTACAACAAATTTCCTAATTAGAGAGGTCAATAGGTTACATATCCTAAAAATATCCTAAAAGCAGACGGATCTTACCTGGTCAACTTCAAGTACAATTGGTTGCTGCTGAGACTGTTGATGATGATGAGGGGGTGGCGGGGCTGGTTGAGACAGCCTTGGGGGTATGTTTGGTGGATGGAATGCTCTCCTTTCGTTTGTGAGTGGCGACTGGTTGTTGTATCTCCTTGCTAGTCTCTCTCGATATCTTTGGCTTTGTCTTCTAATTACAGGGCTGGGAAGGTCAAAATACAAATATTCAAAATTTCAGAGAAATGAATATATTTTGAATCATCGTCAATAAAATAAATCCATGTTATTCTTACAAAATGTGAAAAAATACCAAACTTTCTTTTATAGCTGCCCATACGAGTAAATTACGATAAATTTTTGCATTGATTATATTGATGCAATCAACATTTAAATTGTACAGTAGATGAATTCTCACCTTCTTCCACCAGATGACCTTCGACCTGGTGTATTACATCTATCCCCTGTGATATGCAAGGGGTTACCATGCCGACCAGAATTACTAAGTCGGTGTTGAGGTTCTTGATTTGATTGCCAGGGTCTGGTAGGTGGAGGACTGGGTGAATGCGTGAGATCTATAACACTGTGTGAAAGACGACGTCTCTTTCTGCTAGGACTTTCACTCTGTAAAAATAAAATAAACCATTTAAAAATACAGTGAGTGGGAGGTCAGTACCATTGTAATTGTGTACATTCATGTGGTGAGTCCCACACAACATGAATGAGCCCATAACAACAATTTTCGCTGGGTGACGAATAATTCTGGCTCGCATTGAATAGCTAAGCAATGGAATCAAGCTAAAGAATTTAATCTTAAGGTTCAACTGAGTTGAAGGTTTACATGTAGAAGTAACATACCAAAGACATACAACCATGCTCACATAACTGCATATGCTTGCCTTGTTTATTTTCAAAAACCAAATACAGATTCAATGATGTATTTATACGCGAGAGCCAAGTGACAAGGCAATTTCACAGACAGACTCCCCCTCCCCGAAAGAAAAACTGATGCCTTTTAACTGCTGCTGCTGCTGCAAAAAAAAAAAAAAAAAGGAACACAACAGCAGAAAATCATAATAACTTAAACTTCCACAATATCTCAGGTCAGAAACGGGAAGTATTACAAAGGGTCTGAGTCGTAGATCATTAGCTAGACATCCTAGGCTTTTATCACTCACACATCTTCCAAAAACCATATTTGGATATGCCTCATTACCTATGCCAGACACTCAATAAGCATGGTAATTAAGTTTACTCAAATACAATCAGGTATACCGGTATATGTAGATTTCCCTATAAAACCCATATAGTTAACAGGTATAGACTTACATGCATGCAGATTTAATAAAAATTGATACCCTTCAAATGAACAAGATTTTTCCAATACTGGTACATTTTATATTCAAAATCAGAGTATAGTGTTAAATGAAAGTACATCTGGAATCATTGATCATACATAGCAGAGTGAGGCAGTTATTAAACACATCAGTCAGCCTGCAACAAGTGTAAGTTTTATTTACCCCACCTTTATACACGCATACAATTCCTTAACTGTCATGCCAAGTACTACTTCTATTGGGTGTGGCTTGATTACAGCAAACCCAACTACATGGCTTGGTAAAACACATTTACACACACTCAATGCTCACCAATCATTTTTGCTCCCCCTCCTTCAAGACTCTCCAACATAGACAACAACTGAACAAAATATTTTTTTCAGACAATATTTGGAGTATTATTGTCAAATTGTTTTAAGTGTATTGAAACACCAACTGTATGTTCCAGTCCCTAAATTTCTGCTTTACTTGTTGCGACTTGTATTAAAGCATAATAACATTTCCGTTTTTTCTTGATTGGCGGTTTTATGTTTTTGTTTTTTTTCTTTCTAAAGGTGTTAATACTTCCTGTGCAAAGGCCATTCCATTTGCAAGGTTTAATTCCTGCTACTCATGTTGTTGCTATGGTCACACAGGTTCTCAGGGCATAGGATGAGGTCAAACAAATGGCAGGTTTTCTTGGTTGGAATTTAAAAAAAAAAATTTTTTAAGTAGAAGGAATGTTATAATGGAATTAAATTATTGTTTAATCATTTTTTTAAATGTTTCAAATTCTATCATCAATTTTTCTCAAATAGTAAAATCTATCATCTATTAAAAAAAATCTGAATAACATTAAATATTAAATAAATTAATAAAAACATATCTGAGTCGCTGCTTTTTGCCAGCAATGAAAAAGACTAGAGTAGAGCAACGACATAAAAAATTATCAGACAAATTTATGGTTGCATTTGAGACGAGAATAACCATGGAAACCATAGCATGGTGATCCTGAAAGATACTGACAAAAAAAAAAATCAGTCAAGTATTTTAAATCTCTTTTAAGGCATAAAAATAATCAAATAAAGAAAATGCATCTAAAGAGTGCTGTATGAAACTATGAATATCTTGCAGCCATATTTGCTCTCAAATATTCAGTAAAATATGACCTCATTTCTGTGGAGATTATAATTTATATTGTAAGCTTGAAGCTGACAAGAAAGCATGCAAGTCGATATAGTGCAGTCTTGATATTCAAAGCCAGTCATGTTTACCCCGAGTCTTGTATTCACCCCGTGTAATTATCACTACTTTGCGAATATTTCAGACAAATTTCAAGTGATTCTAAAATTAATACAATATTTTTTTTTTTTTGGAAAGAATATTCCATGTCTTGAATTTTCAAAGTATTATGAGCCAGCTTACTGCCTTCCATGGTCGAGGCTTGGTTAGGAGAATTTTATGAAGTAGAAAAGACGGAAGGTTTACAAGTACAAAAATAGCTGATGTTTGAACAGCATGAATCCATTCAAGTATAGAACAGCATATACAAAGAATTCCTAGCAAACAATATCAATCCTAGCAAACCATTAGAGTGACCTTGGTGAAGTTATTATTTCCTGTGTCATTGACATTGTAGATGAGAATATACAAAACTTTAATCAAAATCCAACACATGGCAGTTTTTTTTTTTTTAAAAACACGTAGGTACAACATATAGAGGAAGTAATTTTAAAACATGCAAAAAGCATGTGATAATTTCATGCTGACCCCCCCCCCCCCCGATCAGTCTTGACACAAATAATTTCATTTCATTTATTTCTTTTGTATTTTCATCAGCATTTTATACCAATACAAATGACATATGCAAGTCAACGTTCCAAAAAGGTCAAGATACGTGTAGTTTATAATATTGATAAAAATAAATGATCAGCCAGCAATAAAACACAGAGCAGGCCAGCATGATTTACTTCAAACCCAAATGGCGGAAACATTGACCTTGACTGCCACAGCAACATTGACATTGAGTGTCACTATGAAAAGGTACCCAATGATTCCCTCTGCCATACCAGAGGTCTATCAGCAATTTTATTATTTACAAATTAGAAATTCAGCAAGATGATCACCCCAATCCTATTTGGACTGATTTTACTGACGTTTTAACCAAGCACAGTTATTACAGTGAAAACCTGTGCCTGGAGGCACCATATGCTTCTAAATAATTTAACAGCACTACTGCCTGTAAGTAAGACAATATATAAAACAACTAGAGAGACCAGTTTGAAAACGGCCAGGGATTACCAGCTATATAATCATACCCAGTAGTAGACTTTCTGTCTCTGATCCCAATTCTATTCTCATCTAGCTCATCAATCCTGTGAAAAAAACAAAACTTTCCACGATTGTCTCTTATCCATCTACTTCTAAGTGAATTTGACTTTGACCTTGCATTGTGAATCCGCTAATCAATGTTCAACTTTCAACAGGAAGTATCCTGTCGTTCATCTTGAATCATCTCTCTCTCTCTCTCTCTCTCTCTCTCTTTCTCTCTCTCTCTCATCCCATCACATCACCTGCAGGCTCTCAAAGACATTAACACAGCTGCAATGGTAAATGTGATCTTAACCCATCACAGTTATTTCCCATTCACATGAAAATAACGGCATTTTACAATTTAACGTTTCTCAGCGAACTGCAGTGACGACACCACTTGTAATATTCAAAATAATGCGAATGATTAATTTGAAGTGATCTATATTTCGATACAAAGGCTCATGGGTAATGTGCTTAACCAAAGGGCTTCAATAGCTAACAAAAACTTCAACCATGGACCTGAATCCAATCGTGGGGATCTCCCGTAGTAAATTTTTTATAAGTTTCCATAATAAAGGTTCACGCCTTTATTGTAACAATTGCTGTAAACAACAAGTAGCCTACGCGTAACACTGAGTTACAAAAAACTTTGGTAAAGTAATGCCTTGTTCTGGGTCTCAGCTTCAAAATGGATTGAAGTTATCTCTCTCGGTCTGATGCACACGTCTTCACCAGGAGTCTATCTATTGAGACATTTCATATGAAGGCTAGTTAGAAGATTACCTTGAAGCTAACAGAATATAAAAACAAAGTTTATTATTACCATCGAAAACTAGAACAGGGTGGTTCTTGATTACAGAGTAGAGTGACTGGAAATGCCTCAAGTTGGAAACACGATGACTTACAACACAGCTAGAGCCTAGACAGTATGAACTATGGTAGTGTAGTTCAAAATAAGTAAAAAGTACCCTCCCCCTTATAGTACTGAAATTGTATTAATTTCTCTCTAATGTAATCTAATTTTCGTTGATAGGAATTTTCAAGATTCGACTATAACTGCAACAAAATTTCATCGATTTTCACTAACTTCCACTAAAATCGTGAAAACGCGACTCTCAGGAAAAAATTTACAGTTTTCAGTACTTTTACAGTCATTGCATTGCCTATGCGACTGAAAACCTGCAGGAATTTTAACCTACAGTCGGTGTATACCGTAAATCAACACAGAGACACCTAGTATCGAGCAGAATAAAAGATTATTACTGCTTAATGCTGACATGTGTAAGCACATCTCGTCTTTACGCATATGTGAATATAAGTGTAGATTCAGCAAGACGGTTGGAACACTTAAAGATGCTTGTTGGTGTACCGTGTGTGTGTGTGTGTGTGTGTGTGACCATAACGTCAAGGATCCCAGTGGTAATAGAAGACCGTTTGCAAGAACTGCATTCCCATTCAGTGATGAGAAAGCTCAAGGCAAAACAGATTCTTGTATAATTAACCGAGCTAAGTATAGACAGAAGAGGTTTTGTGTAAGTCGATCAAGTAGCTCATGTCAGAAGCACGTAATCGCAATTAAACTTGTAGGTTGAATCATTCAAAAATTGTCAGAAAAATGGCCATAACCCAAAGCAACGATTTCCAGATTTCATCTCAATGTGATTTCAAATAGAACACAATTGCACCAGGCAGACTTTTGAAAAACAGTATGTCAACAAGATTTGGTAACCTTAATACTATTAATAGTCTTAGATAGGTTTCTTTCAATGTAAGTAAGACGACATGTAATGTATTTCCTCTATCAGTAGAAAACGACTTTAATTGTTGTTTTTATTTTTAATAATTATTGTAAATTTTCTGATTCAAAGGGGGGTCAGTGACTTTCGCAAAATCGCAAACACTTCTAGCAACACAAATATGTCAGTGTACACACATGTTTCGAGTCTACCAACAAAATTTGATTGCAAAAAAGGTCACATACCAAAAGCTTACTTT